ATCATGTAGATGGTCTCATTGATGTTACCGTGTAAAAACGCATTTGCTACGTCTAATTGTTGGATATCCCATTTGTGATATAGAGCAATGGTAAACAGTATGCGTATCGTGGGAAGCTTAGCGACAGGACTGAAGGTTTCGTGGAAATCAAGCCCAAACTCCTGTTGGTTTTCAAGTGCCACAAGCCGGGCTTTATATCTAGCAATCGATCCATCAGAATTGTATCTCATACGATAAGTCCACTTGGAGCCAAGGATGGATCCATTTGGCGGTGGAGGTACAAGATCCCATGTACCTTGTTGTTGTAGTGCGTAGAACTCATCGGCCATGGCTTGTCGCCATTCGAGGTGTTTAATTGCTGTACTATAGGAAGGGGAATCATTAATCGATGACTCTTGATACAGGAGGTTAAGTTTGGTAACTGGTTTTAGCGATCCCGTTTGTCTGCGAGTAGTCATGGGATGCTGTTTCTGTATTTGAAGAGGAATGGGTGGAAGAGACTGTGGGCTGGTTGAAGCTGGATATGTATGCTCGGGTTGGATATCCACAGTAGTGTTGTTAGAGGTTCGTTGTTCGGGGATAGCTTCTGATATGATATGTGCAGTGCGATGTGTAGACGAAACCGTCGAGGGAATGAGAAGAGATGGCAAAAGAGTAATAGGAGTTGCTGAGGCAGAGGAAGACCTGTGAGAAAAAGGAAAACAATTTTCGTTAAAAGTTACATGTCTTGATATAATAATTTTGTTGTTAGACACGTTGAGACACTTGTATCCTTTTATGGATTCAGAGTAACCAATAAAGACACAAGGCGGAGACGTGGGGGTGAGCTTAGTTCGCTGCGGCGGAGGAAGAAGCGGATAGTATTCACAACCGAACGTGCGAAGGTGATGATATGAAGGTTTAATGTTGAACATTCTTTGCAAAGGGGATAAGTAATCCGTCGTTGAGGAAGGAAGACGGTTTATGAGGTAGACCGAGGTAGTGACTGCTTCAAGCCAGTAGTTGAGCGGAAGAGACACCTGATGAAGAAGCGTACGGGCAGTTGCGATGATGTGCCGATGCTTTCTTTCAGCGATACCAATTTGCTCCGGAGTGTAAGAGGTTTGGTGGTTAATTCCGGCAGATTGAGTAAATTTATGAAATTGGATGTTGAGGAATTCGCCACCGCCGTCCGTGCGAATGGTTTTAAGCTTGCGATTAGTTTGACGTTCAATGTATGAAACAAAATTAATAAACGTCACAGTAACATCAGATTTAAATTGTAAAGGAAATAACCATACGAATCTAGAGTAATCATCTACAAAAATTAAGTAGTAACGAATGCCTTGATTAGAGGGAACATGTGAAGGTCCCCAAACATCAGAATGGACTAAATCTAGAGGAGCTTTAGACGAGCTAATAGATCGTTCAAAGGGAATTTTATGCCCTTTACATGACATACAAGCATTACACAAGTTCGCAGGAGATCTAATATGTAATGACGAATTTGTATTTGCGATTTGGAGAAGAACTCGAGCGTGAGGATGACCGAGTCTGCTATGCCAGTTGATGGAAGAAGTTCCTGTGGTAATTAAGCTAGTAGTAGGAGACTTCTTGATAGCTGGAATACAGTACAACCCTTCTTCACATGGTCCTTGAAGAATAGTTTGATTTGTCCTCATATCCTTAAAGGTAAACCCGTTAGCATCAAAGTTTATAGAAATATGATTATCTTTAACTAAATTTGAAATAGAAAGCAGATTATAAGAAAGTGAAGGAATATGGAGGATGCGGGCTGGGGTAGGAAGAAGGCCGGTTCCTGTATGAGCGATAGGAACGGTTCTGCCATCCCCAATGGTAACACGATCCGAGCCATTGTAGACGTAGGAGGCGTCAAGATTGTCGTTCTTGTTCGTCATGTGGGAGGAAGCACCCGAGTCTATGAACCAGTCGTCTACAGCAAGGTTATCGTTAGAGGCAAGAAGAGCGTTGGGCTTCTTGGATGCTTGTTGATTTGGTATGTAGTTCATGTTGAGGCGATGCCAGCATGAATCAGCCTGGTATCCTTTCTTCTTGCAAATCTGGCAAGATATGGACGACGAAGAGTTGGAGGTATGCGTTGTAGTGCTGTCTCTGTTCGGGCGACTTCTCCCGCGCCTACCACGACTGTTTGAAGAATAGAGCGCAGCCTGTGGATCGGGCGGTTTGGGAAATCTCGCCGCGACTGATTTGAGATGAAGCTCCTCGCTTATAAGCATTGCGTATAAATCGTCAAGCAATATAGAACCTGGCCTAGTTCTTATAGAGGTCGTGAACGATTGATATTCTAACGGAAGACCGTTGAGAATGTATATTAAAATATCTTCTGGATCAACAGATGATCCGGCTGCAGAGATTTGATCAACTATCTTCTTAATCTCAGTGAGATATTGAGACATAGATAGTGATTGCATCGAAAGGTTGTGAAGCTCATTTTTGAGTTGTATGACCTTTGATCGATTTGATGATTGGAACCGCGTATGAAGGGTAGACCAGATCTCGTATGTGGATTCAAGATGAATCACATACGGCAGTACCTCCGGAGAGATAGTGGAGCACATAGCTGTGGCAAGATTTTGATCCGTTATGGACCGATCTTGAGTTTCTTGGTTCGGGTCGGTGTTTTCGACAGACGATCTAGACTCAAAAAAGGTAGAGAATCCATTTGCCTTGAGGAGCTTAGCAAACTGAGTGCTCCAGAACGGGAAATTATCGGGAGTGAGAGAGAACGGAACTAGAGATTTTATGTTAGAAATAACGAATTTGAGAGCGAGGGAGATGGCCAGAGTTAGAACGCCAGAGCTGGCCGTGGCGTGAGCGGAAGAAGATGCGGAAGCTGGGTCGCCATGGTGAATGCGTCAGGATCTGAACGCTACTCTTGATACCATGTAGAAACTTTAACTCCTCATTGAGCCCAGCAAGAACCAAAGGTTGAAGACGATGAACAGTAAAAGTAACAATATTATATTATTATTGTATATGAGTTGAGTACACGACAGATCAATTTATAGGGAAACGTAACATGAGCAATACACGTGGAGTAGTGTCATTGGTACAAGATACTAACGGCTATATTAATTGTTTTAATATATGCTGTCTTAATAGTATCTTGGATAGTATATGTAATATTATAGTTTCATTTTTTGGTATAGCCTTTTTTGTAGCCTTCATAATTCTACAAATAAGAGATGAAAAGGAATAGTTTAGAAACATTTTTCTATCCTTTTGAGTGATTTTAGTTGATTTATACTAGTTTGAGATTTAAAATTTTCTTGATTTCCCCACAAATTCAATGTTCTCTAATTATTTTTCCTCTATCTGTCTCTCTCTCTCCATACTCACTCAAAGGTTCTCAAGCCATTCACTCATAGGGCAGGCCTTCTAATAAGGTCAGCTGTCATTTACGAATAAATTTGAATTCAACACATCTTAACTTTTTATTTAGTAAAATAATTAATTTGGATATATAATTAAATCTTTTCTAAGCCATTCAAAGAATCATAATTAAAAATAAAAAAATAAATTTAATATGAAATTTTACTATTCAATTAAGGAATAAGTCTGCGCTTTATTGATGGATACGTGAGAAGCTGCCAAATACTCGTGTTGTCGGGATTTCTTTTTTGTTTGTGATAGGCTGGAATCATTTTGTATGCTTAAAAGAAGAAGAAGAAGAAGAAGAGTTAGGATTACCATCATTCAGATGAGCTTGTCCTATAGGCTATAGCCCAGGCTTTCTTTTTGTTGTAATTTTTTTAATTAGGCCATCAATCTCATATTATATTGAATATATTTATTAATTATTATTATTATTAACATTTTGATCTGTGAGTTTGTAAAAAAACACAAAAAATACAGATTTTAGGTCAAATCATTCGTAATGGTGCTTGACTTCTTCTTAACCACTATGTGTTTGAGTATTAATTTATGTCACTTATTGTGGAATATAGTAAGCTTATTTAAAAAAAATATAATTCTTTACTCTCTTTTTTTCTGAGATTATCATACATAACACTAAAAAAAAAACAAAATTCAAAAGTTTTTTAAAACTTAAACTTCATTATTTACTTATACACCACTTACAATTCAAAATATTAACATAAAATTTATCTACCCCTAAACATTATCTATATCATATCATATCATATGCTGCACACTTTTTGGCACGCTGCTAGTTTTGTTGCTGCCTTCACACTCTATTAGTTTTTTTTTTTGGAACATGGGTATCGGCCCACTGCTACGTCAGCTTGTGAAGCGTTGGGCGATGTCCACTAATCCCTCGGCGAATCTACCAGCAACCAACCCCACTGGTGCATGACCCACAATTATTTTCTCTCCACTTAAGGAGTCGTGCAGGACCCATGTATGAGAGGGGATTCGAACTTAGGATGGGAGGCTCCCAATCAAACACGCCCACCAACCCACCTAAGCCCGGTGGGGCTCACACTCTATTGGTGAAGATGAAGTTTATTAGGGCAACAAATCAATCATGATTGAGATCACTGGACAAGGTAGTGATGTCACTAACGTGGAGAAGAAAATCATGACGAACCTAAATAGGGCATGACATTACTATCAGATACGGAAAGTCTAAGTAGGAAAAAGTTATTAGTGTTGAAGAAGATTGTAATTTTGATAAATAATGACATTTAAATGTTAAATAAGATTATAAAAAATATATTTTTAAGTATTATGTGCTATGCATATAAATCCATCTTCTTTTTTTTTGTTGCAACAGAAAAATCCTTCTACTCTTCCCTAAATTTATACTATGCTAATTGAGTTTGACATAAAATAAAAAATAAAAAATACCCTTTTGAAAGCTTCCAACTTCTCTAACTCTCTCTCTCTCTCTCAATTATACATATGGGGAGCTCCAAACACGTTAACATTGTCCGCGGCTTATCCAGTACCATCTTCCCTTCACAACGCCCATCTCTATAAATATATCCCAATTCAAAACCATCTGTGGCAACCAAAAAATGGAAACCCCAAAAAATCTCCTCCTCATCCTCCACTACATCCGCCGTTTCATCTCCCGCCTCCTCAGCTTAGTCTCCCTAAAAGACATTGTACTCTCTCTCCTCCTCCTCCTATGCGGGCTGTCTTCCCTCACCGTCCAGCTTTCTGGCAGCACTACCTCTATCCACCTGTGGGGACCTCGCCGGCGCCGCCACTCCCGCCCCGCCCTCGTCCTCCTTCATGGATTTGGCGGCTTCGCCAAGTGGCAGTTCGAGCGCCAAATTGCGCCGCTTTCTCGTCACTTCGACCTCTACTTGCCGGACCTCGTCTTCTTCGGCCAGTCAGTGTCGGCGGAAGGGAAACGTTCGGTGAAGTTTCAAGCCGAGTGTGTGGCCGAGGCAATGAGGAAGCTTGGAGTGGGGAAGTATACGGTGGCGGGGGTGAGTTATGGAGGCTTTGTGGCGTTTTGTATGGCAGCGGCGGCGGCAGAGAGGGAGGTGGAGAGGGTGGTGGTGATTGCATCGGGGGTGGCCACCTCGGCGAAGGAGAGGAAGGAGTTGGCAGAGAAGGAGGGGAGAGAAGTGGCTGAGTTATTGCTGCCAGAGAGAGTCGAGGATCTGAGAAACTTATTTCGCCGGTGTATGTTCAGACCGCCGACTTGGTTGCCCGATTTTCTCCTTCGTGATTTCCTTGAGGTCAATAACCATATCTCTACTGCTGCAAAACATCATTTTGATAGATTTTTTTCTGATAAATTTAATTTTTTGCGTGGAAAATGAAATCAAATTAAGATTATCTAACTAGAAATTATTTTTGCTATGCAGATAATGTTCAAAGATCATAGGAAGGAGAGGACAGAGTTGCTGAATGAACTTCTATCAGATGGAGTTGGTCGGGGCGCTCTTCCTATTCCCAAGCAGGTAACTAAATCCTTTAAGCGTCTCTCTTCCAGTTGAGAATTATATATTACAGATTAAACCCTTGGGGCATATATATAATTTATTATTAACAAATTAATGTAACAGGAAACTCTAATCTTATGGGGTGATGAGGACACTATTTTCCCTTTGCCTCTTGCTTATGCTCTTAAGAGGTAATTAATTACGAATTAGTAGTATTTTACGCATCTAACAACCATTTTGCTGTTACTTTAGCACATTTATAATATGTTGAAAGATAATATTCTTTTATTTTATTTATGTAAACAGGCATTTGGGAGAAAAGGCAAAATTGCAAGTAATTAAGGAAGCAGGGCATGCATTGCCATTAGAGAAGCCTTATCACGTAAATAGTTTGATTAGAAGGTTCATTTTGCAAGAAAAAGTTGTTTAAAGTGAGGGGGAATTCATATATAACAATATGAACTGTATTGTTACTGGGCTAATTGATCCCAACTTAAGCTTAATTTCTTGTATTATGTGGTTAATTATCACTGAGATCTATTGAGAGATCAATAAAAGTGTAACCAAGTGTGTGGCGACAGTCCTTAAAGTTGATCATTGATGTTGAGAATATTTTAAATATGAGAATTATCTCAACTCAAGCTCTTCTTCATATGTTAATTAAAGTCATATTTATAATTATTTTTTTTGTGAGGCATATTGATCATATTTCCCAAAGCTCCAATTGAACAACTTAAAATGCCCTACTATGTTCATTTGATTTTTCCCGAGCATTTGAATCCTTTCAAAATAACAACAAAATTTAGCAATGTTTCTAGTTCTATGCACATGAATTAATGAAATTATAAATGGTTCATTGGTTAATTGGTTTAATCGCTGTTACGACTTTCTTGTTGTACATACCTGATTTTAATCAAAAGCTAGTTTAACTTTGGACTAAATTAAGTCTATTTAGGAAAACTTTCTAACTACTTCATTTTTCAGACAACAATCATAATTTCATTTAGCAACTGCTTTCATATTGGCTTTCACTGTTTTTCAAAAGCTTTTATAAAGAAAAACTTTTTTCTACAACCATAGTAATGAATATGCCTTCTCCATAATAAGTTATCTACCAAGTTTATAATACGTTGCAGTCATACCAAACCGACTTTAAATTGATCCATGAATGATTTTTAATCAAATTGTTCATTTGGTCTAGCTTTTTAAACTATGATTAAGGCTTCGATTGGGGCGGCTTTCTTACTGCTTCTTAAAGCAGTTTTGTAGTATAGAAATTAATTTTTTTTGCACTAAAAATTTGTTTTAAGAAACAGTAAGAAAGTCTTCCAAATCGAAACCTAAGATTCCTTTCAATTCCAACCCCTCCATATGATAATATATGTCGATATCGCCATGGAGCTTTAGCCTATACTAGATCTTTTTTTTCCCGGACTTTTGAGTCAATTAAGACAAACAGATATCGCATATGCAAGATTCGAATTTGAAACCTCTTGATTGATAGTCAAAGCTCCCAACCAACAAATTAAGATGAGTTACTTGTCTATGCTAAATCTCTATCAAACATCATGGAGCATAGTTGCCAATATCAACATTACAAGAAAAAGTATCTTCGGAATAAGAGAATTTGTCATCTCATACATTTTTTGTCCGAAATTCTTGCCAATATGTTTTTTTGCAACAAGACAAGTTTGTCCTAAAATGTGTCATGAAGATGTGTCACTAAACAGGTCATCTAGGTACGATTTTGCGACATGAGCCGGTCGATATGTCCATCCACAGCTATGATTTTCAACAAGAGCTAATCGCAAAAAGCTCCATTAGTACAATCATTTCTACAATTTTTGTGCTCGCAAATAATAAAAGAATAACAATAGTTATAGCAAATATCAAGCACATTCACATGATTACAATACCCTCATAACTGACAAATAATTGATATGAAAATAAAAACAAAAAAAAATAATTGATATGAAAATAAAATAATAAATAGTTATAACACAACAGTACACAGCTCCTAATATACACACTAATCATTCTATTCATTTCATCAAAATAAAATTATACAAAAAGTCGCCTTTAGTACTATCATGTCGCCCTCATGATCATCGATCTTCATGATCACCACCCAAAGCATTTTGCACTAAAAAGTTACTTTTCTAGTGCTTTTTAAAGCACATTTTTTTATAAAAATTAAAATTTTTAAAATTTTATACTAAAAATTTACTTTAAGAAGTGGTAAGAAACAGAGCCCTGCATTAGGTACCCATACTCATACCTACCCATGAACCCACCCATACCCAATGGGCATGGGTGGGTATGGGTACACTCATGGCATCGTGGGTGGGTATGGGTGGGTACTCAACATCAAAGGACAACCGGTTTATATTACTAATAATCATATACATGCAGTATATTATAATAATCCTTACTACGCAATGTGCAACACTGAACCGCGTCACAACCATGATAAATTTTGACATGTCGCTTGAAAGTTTGCAGTCAGAGAAAATGGCAAAAAACCTCAAGGCCATTAATCTATGGCAGACTGCATTCAATAAGCGTGGAAAGTGGGTGGGTGTGGGTGGGTATGACGTCAGGAAAGTCACCATAGGTGGGTGTGG